CTTTATTGTTCACTTAAGAAAACTTGAAATTGTAAAGTGTTTACGGGAAACGGTAACTTCCAGACTTGATTTACCAAATTTATAAAAGTAAAGTAAGTGCCGTTTTTCAGGATATGAAGTATGTGATTTCAGCTCCTTAAATGGGATACCTGACATTATTATTACAGCTTAAAGCCTGTGAGATTTTCTTTTCAATTTTTAATTCTTCTCTTAATGATCTCATTTATTGTCTACTGGAAATCAATTTAGGAAATCATGTTAGTCCACTAAGCACTTCAGATAAGGCTATTTCACGAAGCATTCCAAGATTATCACAAGGAATTGCTTTCATATGCCATAAAAGAAGAAATAAGCTGAATATGGCCTGCCAAAGAAGGTTACAGTTTTACAGCTCCTTCCACTGCAGCTCTTAAGTCACTCATTTACATTAACTTTGGATTATCACTCACAGATTGAAAGCAAAACACTCATCACACACTCTGGGCTCGTGGTGCCACTTGTATGTGTGTTTCTAAATCAATGATGAGGGTATCAGAACCAATATTGGACATGGACATGGCAAATTACAGTGAAGTTTTGGATCCAACTTACACAACTTTGGAGTTTGAAACTATGCAGATTCTATATAATTCAAACGGTGAGTTATCATCTGTTTATATACGTGAAGAAAAGTAAATATAATTGGAGAAGGTAGACTGAGCTTCCAAAGGTGGTGGCTCAATGTTTCATTTTATTTTTTTCTGGAGAATTTACGTCTTTCTTTTAAAGCCACAAGTCTGAGCTTTTGCACTTGCTTACAAAATTTAAGTTAATAATGTTAGGGCTATTTTATCTTAGAGGTAGAAAAAGCCTGGTTTTGTGGAATAAAGTAACTTCAGAATTCTGTCATGGGCCAGTTAGAGTTAGCGAGTTAAAAAGAATAGATTCAGCCATTATTTTATTTGCTGTAAATGATAGTAATAAGTAACATTGGCAGATTGGCTGTGAAAGTATATTTTCTATGCAATGTTTAAAATGACTTATGGAACAAAGTTTCCACAGAACGCTAGGGAGTTTTACTGATTGTCTACTCTTTTCATTATTATTCCAGTTCTCAAATGCTACTGATGAGAAACTGCATTTAAAATACTATCAGGTTTTTGCACTGAATGCTAATATGAAAGGAAATAAGGTTTATTTTATAACCTTACTTGTCAGGCTAATGTTTAGCTGCACAAAGCTGTTGGTATTTAATTACTGTAACATTTTAACTTTAAATAAGACACGAGTTGTTTAGGGTTTGTGCCTTTATGTAGTACAGCTTATTCTTGACTTTGAATTTAGACTTAATTCCTAGGAAAAAAATCTTTTTTAAAATGTGTTATAGCTGATAGAACTCCTAAGACTGAGCAATTATGTATACTTTGGAAAATGTGTGTGTGTGTGTGTGTGTGTGTGTGTGTGTGTGTGTGTGTGTGTGTGTGTATGTGTGTGTTTAATGCAAGACTGAGAATATATCTCTTGTACCGAGGAACTCTCACTAGTCTACTGCACTGTACAATTTGTATGACTGGTGTTCTGGTTCTATTTACAATAAGCAGTTCCTTCTTAGTGGAGATTTAAAAAAATAGTCAAAAGATGAATTCTGAAATTTTAGCACAAATACAGTTAAAATAAATCTGTAGTGCAACTTTTAGGAAGTCCCTGTTTTGTGTCTTATGTTTAGACATGATTAGGGATATTTAATAGAGTATTTCATCAAAATCTTGACTTTAAAAAAACACTCATGATTAAGAAATGGTAGGGACATAATTACCATAATCTTAACACTTATTTACTATAAGTGTTTAACAAATATACTAAAATAATGAATTTGTATTGCTACATGCAAAGTGTGATGTAACTTGTTTGTAATAATGTTGTCAGCAACATGTAAGTATGGCACTAAACTTGAAGCAAGAGGTGAATTTTTCATATTTCTATGTAGTCTCTCAGAATACAATAAATTCCAAACAGTTCTAACTTTCATATTGCTAATATCTGTGTTGTTAATGCTACCAAAAGCAAAATTTGCAGCATTTTAATCCTATAACGTCACATGACTAACTCTAAGCATATGCTCATTAAGTTTTTTTCCAACTTCATGAAATTATATATGACAATATTTGTCTACTCAGAAGCAGTAATAAGTAGCATATATGTAATGTCATAAAATGTAATCAGGACATAACAACCTTTAGTTTTATCCTTTCGTTAGACATACAATAATCAGTTGTTAATATATTTACAATTTTATAATAAAGTTTTACTGTATTACATATTTAATATCTTTTGAATGCATACAGATTTTGAAGACGTAATCCACGATATTAACTCATTTAAGAAATATTTATTTTATTATAAATATCTACATTTAAAAAATAATTCTTCCTTCAGAACTATGTATTAGATGACCACTATATTCTGGGCATAATCCTAAAAGCTGGAAAACAGAGGAATATATAAAACAGATAAATTCTCTACCATCATGGGTTTGTAAAGTCAGTTAGAGTGGGTTTGTAAAGATGGGTAATAAATGAGCAGACCAATACACAATATACTTTTCAGAAATAAAGTTATTTTAAAAACTAAGGCCAGGTGTGGTGGCTCACATCTATAGTCCCAGAACTTTGGGGGGCTGAGGCAGGAGGATCGCTTGAGCCCAAGTGTTTAAGACCAATCTGGGCAATATAGTGAGACCTTGTCTCTACAATTAAAACTTTAAAAATTAGCTTGGTGTGGTGGGCTGCCCCTGTAGTCCCAACTACTTGGGAGTCTGAGGCGGGCGAATTGCTTGAGCTCAGGAGGCCCAGGCTGCAGTGAGCTAGGATTGCACCACTGCACTCCAGCCTGGGTGACGAAGCAAGACCCTGACTCAAAAAATAATAATAATATGTAAAATACACATGGCTTTAGGTTCTACTTAAAGGACAGATGGGAGGTGACTTTTTAAACATGTGTTCAGAGGTTTCACAGAAAATGTGAAATGTTAACAGAAACTTGGTAGCTAGCTCAAAGATAGGTTTAGGGAAGAGCTTTCCTCCCAGACAGAAGGAACAGCAAGTGAACAATTTCTGAGATGATGGAAACAACAACAACAAAAAAGAAGACAATATTGCTGGAGAATAATGAGCTGGATGAAAAGTGGTACCAGATACTGGGATCAGAGATTTGGGGGAGTTGTAGTGGGGGGTTGACATGCAGGTTTTACAGCCTGTGATAAGATGCCTATGGTTTATTCTGTATCTCATTATAACAGGGTCGGATGCAGAGGGTGACATGATGTGAATTTCTTTTTAAAAAAGTTATTATTATACTTTAAGTTCTGGGATACATGTGCAGCACATGCAGGTTTGTAACATAGGTATACATGTGCCATGATGGTTTGTTGCATCCATCACCCCATCATCTACATTAGGTATTTCTCCTAATGCTACCTCTCCCTAAACCTCCCACCCCCTGACAGGCCCCGGTGTGCAATGCTCCCCTCCCTGTGCCCATATGTTCTCATTGTTCAACTCCCACTTATGAGTGACAACATGCGGTTCTTGGCTTTCTGTTCCTGTGTTAGTTTCCTGAGAATGATGGTTTCCAGCTTCATCCATGTTCCTGCAAAGGACATGAACTCGTCCTTTTTCATGGCTGCATAGTATTCCACGGTGTGTATGTGCCACATTTTCTTCATCCAGTCTATCACTGATGGGCATTTGGGTTGGTTCCAAGTCTTTGATATTATGAACAGTGCCACAATAAACATATGGATGCGTGTGTCTTTATAATAGAATGATTTATAATCCTCTAGGTATATACCAAGTAATGGGATTGCTGAATCAAATGACATTTCTAGTTCTAGATCCTTGAGGAATCGCCATATTGTCTTTCACAATGGCTGAAGTAATTTACACTCCCAAGAACAGTGTAAAAGCATTCCTATTTCTCCAATGTTGTGAATTTGTTATAACAAGATCATTTACATGGCTGTGTGGTAATGAACAGTAGGGCAGCAAGAATAGAAGGAATAAATTTAGATAGCAAGCTGTTGCCATAATCTAGAGGAAAGATGATGGTTGGTTGAACAAGGATGTCCATGGTGAAAAGTCGTGGATTAAATATGTATTTCAGGCCCGATGTGGTGACATGCCAGTAATCACAACATTTTGGGAGGCTGAGACTGGTGGACTGCCTGGGGCCAGGAGTTCAAGATCAGCCTGGCCAACATGGTGAAACCCTGTCTCTGGTAAAAATACAAAAATTAGTTTGGTGTGGTGGCACATATCTGTAATCCCAGCTACTTGGGAGGCTGAGGTAGGAGAATTGCTTGAACCCCGGAGGCAGAGGTTGCAGTGAATGCAGATCACACCCTGAGCGACAGTGGAAACTCAGTCTCAAAAAATTAAATAAATAAATAAAAAGTATTGTAAACATGGACTTACTAAGGGATTGGTTATAAAAGATAAAGGAGAGAATACAATAAAGACTCACAGATTATTGGCCCTGGGAAATTGGATGGAACCATTGACTGATATAGGGAGACTGAAGGAAGGAAGAACAAGTTCTAGGGGGAAAATGAAAGAGTTTTGTTTTTGATATGTTAATTTACAATTCTGATTAGATTTCACAATGAAGTTCTTCAATAGATGCTTGGGCATTTCAGACTGATGCCCATGGTAGACATCAGGGCTAGAGATAAAATATTGGACTTGTTCATCCTACAGCCAATACTTACTGTCATGGGACTGATAAGCTTCCCTTGGAAAAGAGTATAGTTGGAGAGCTAAATCTATGGTGTCTCAAAATTAAGTGTTCAGAAATAAGAAAGGAGAGCTTGGAACGGAAGCAGCCAGTGGTTAAAAGGGAAGCACCAGTGTGGGGACTCCTAGAAGCCAACGAATGGACTGTTTTGAGCCTATAAATAATTAGTCGAACAATTTAATCAGGAAACAATGCCACCTCTAACTGTAATCTTCCTTTTTCATTGACAGATAGTTCTGCCCCAGAGACAAGTATGAATACCACAGACAATGGTGTCAACTGCCTGTGTGCCATCTGTGGGGACAGAGCAACAGGAAAACACTATGGGGCATCGAGCTGTGACGGGTGCAAGGGTTTCTTCAGACGCAGCATTCGCAAGAGTCACATTTATTCTTGCAGGTACTTTAAATGCCCTTTTAGGAGAGTTATCTCTACAGGTGTTTCAGCTTGGCACGCAAAAAGTAAGAAAAGAAAATTCAGAGCTTTTGTATATCTGTAAGTCTATAAATAAAATCTCTAAACTGCGGTACAAGTAAGAACGTGTAAGTATGTATTGCAGGATGTATTCACATAGGTGGTTCTTTTTTATGAAACATTTTAGACCTATAGAAGGTATATAAAAATCCATCTATCACCCAGCTTAGACCAATATAGTTGAAGCCTTTAATGGACACCTCCTCTGTCACTTTTCCTCCCTTGCCTCTTAGAGGTAACTACCACTGCAATTTTGTGTTATCTTTTCCTTGTGTTTCTTTATTGTTTTACCACATGTTCATATACCTCTAAACATTTTAAAATCTGCATTTAAAAGCTTTTTCAATATGAATATTTTTCTTCATGTTGATTTTTTAAGTGCCATTACATCCCGGGCCTAAAAACAAAATTATAAAAGTGCAGATTATTTTGGTAGTTTGCTGATATTAATGAGTGAAATTAAATTTTCAGTCCTAAAATTTAAAATGTATTTCTTATGCCATATCTTTTGTCATTAAGTTTAAATGTTTTGTCGGATGCTTATGTAACTATATTATATGTGTCACCCATTTCCAGTAGGCTGTTTCCTTGTTTCTTTAATTTTAGATTAAAACCTAGTCAACATCATAACATGATTTAAGTATACATTTTCATTTTTATTCATCTATATGACTGTCCTTGAATGCAGATTACATTTAAATTGAATATAGGCTATTAACAAAAATGACTGATTAACAGAAAAAAAAACTGTGTTTGTTCCATCAACAAAAGATATGTGTAGAATTATATTCTTTTAAGAACAAGTTGGACATTTAGGAAGAAATTAACTCTCTCAAAGTGTTGCCATGTGATTTCCTGGGGTACTACACAAGTTAATATATTACTACCCAAATATCTATCTAGTTCTCTGGTAATCAGGTTCTCTAGTAGTATTTCAAGATGCTTTGAAGCAGGTTAACAGAACTATAAATTGCCCACTTTAAAAACTTTCTAGGTAAACAAAAAAAGTGTATTTAGCTGAGTTTTGCTTTTATTTACATTAAAACTCTGAAGGTAAAAGGTAGATCAATTTCCTTCATCAAAAATACTTTTCTATGAGTAGTTCTAAAGATCAGTAACTAAAACAAATACAAAATAAGCTGTAAACCATACCTTCTGGAGCCATGTGCTCTGTTAAAAGTGAAATACGTGTGTGTGTGTGTGTGTGTGTGTGTGTGTGTGTGTGTGTGTAATGGTGATCCAAACAACTAAATCCAACAACAACTTGTGAGAATCAGAGAATCACAAAGGCTTCAGGATGTCTGTCCTTTCCGTATGGAAGGGTGGGAAAGGAATTCTCTCAGAGCAGTTTTTAGAGACTGATACAACAGATACAGTTTAAACCCTGCACCTTCATATTAGGAATGCTACTGCCAACCTAGCTTTCTGTATATATTTTAGTATTCAGCAAATGTTATAATTTTTTATTTCGAAAATGGTTAGAATATTGATGCAAGTGTAGAGTCATGGAGGTTTTCTGAGATCAGGTTGTGCTGGTCTCAAATTTATCTATTTTCTTAGATTACAAAATCCCATTTCTACTCTAACTGCTCCATCACACTGAGGTTGGGCTTTCCTTCAAAAGCACTTTTAATTGCTGTTTCAATACTTTTCATGTACGTTTTTCACATTATATGTACAATTTGTATGCATACTCTATTAGATTGTGATTTCCTTGAGTAGAGGAGACAAGTAGTGTTAATCTGTTTAATCCCTACACCAGGATCTTGTATGCTGTAGGTGCTTAATAGTATATGTTTATTCAATTTTTATTATTAATTTAATGTTAATTGAATGTATTCTCCTTGTGTATTTTATCATTCTGGTCCTCTCTCCTGAGTCACATCAGCCATTTGTTCCCAAATGAGCAATACCTTGTTCCTCACTCTGAAAGCATGTTTCTCTTCTAGCCCAATTTGTTGATCATAGGTTTTGCTTCTCATTCAATTTTAAGTGGCCACCAGTAGTTTTTAGAAGAAATACTTTGTATAGGTCACAAAATACATGTCTTTATTCTTATCATTATCAACTACAAATAAACAGGTACATATCAATATGTATGGATAATTTTGCGCCAGAATTTTGAAGAAACGTTAGCGTTTACCGTTTGTCCCCAACTATTTGAAGTATGTTCACACAACAACCTTTAGGGCAAGTACTTCTTATTTTACAATTATAAACTGGTGTTACTTAACATCCCCAAGTTCTGCTGAGAGTCGATGGTTTTATCGACTCTCAAGCTCGGATTTAATTTCAGAGACCGCACTGTTTTTTTCATTTGTTTGTTTGTTTGGTTAAGTACACAAGTCAGTTTTTTAGCGTATCCAGAGTCGTGCAACCATCAATACAGTAAAATTTGACCATTTGTATCCCCTTATAAAGAAACCTTTAGCAGTTACTCCCTCATTTCCTCCCAACTCCCTCCTCAACAATATGAGGCCACTACGAATCTATTTTCTGTTTCTACAGACTTGCCTTTACAGGGCATTTTGTATAAACAAAATCATATGATATGTGATCTCTTGTGTCTTACTTCTTTCATTTAGAATAGAATAGGTTGCCAAGGTTTATCTATGTTGTAGCATTTATCAGTACTTCATCACTATTTACAGACAAATAATAATATTCTACTGTGCCGGCATACCAGATTTTGTTTTTCTATCATCAGTTGATAGGCATTTTGATAGTTTCCACTTTCTGGCCATGATGAATAACGCTACTATGGACTTTTATGAACAAGTTTTTAATGTGTGCATATGTTTCATTTCTCTCCATGCAGACCAAGCATGGCATTGCTGGGTTATACCGTAACTCTATGTTCAGCTTTTTAAGACAGTGCTAAACTTTCTTCTAAAGCAGCTGCATCATTTAACATTTTAACCAGCAATGTACGAGGGTTCCAATTTTTCCACATCCTCACCAACTCTTGTTTTTCCTTTGTTTCATTTACAGCCATTCAAATGAGTGTGAAGTCTTACACCATTATGCCAACTGTACTCTCAGTGTTGTCCTCAATGACTTCTTGATGTATAATTTGCCATTTAGGGTAAACTTCAGTGGGATGTGGGGTACACTTAAAATTAATAGAAGAATATTTAAAAAGAGAAAAGCATGAAAATGCAGAGCCATGAAGTTCTGATAATAGCCTCCTTCATACTGAAATCATTTGGCAAAAAGCAACAAAAACTTGTAAGCCAAAGATTTTCAAAACTAGTTTGGCTTTCATGACTCATGATAGAAATGGCTATGCACACCAGCCAAAATGAAGATAGTCATTCAGTTTTATTTTGCTATAAAGACTGAGAGGTGAGGCTTGTGTTTTCACGCACATCCTGATTGTGAGACTGGGAAGGTCATAGTTGATTGTTCATATCAGATGTGACAATACATATTTAAAACCCATTTGTCTGTTTGCTTTTTTGTAAATCATCATTTTCTGAGAACTAATATATCTTTGTTTGATGTTATAGGTTCAGTCGACAATGTGTTGTTGACAAGGACAAAAGGAACCAATGTAGATATTGTCGATTAAGAAAGTGTTTTAGAGCGGGAATGAAAAAAGAAGGTAATAGCAATGATGATGATAATTAACATTGTTGATAAAAAGTGATAAACATACACACACATTCTCATTGATCACAATAACCTTTTTACATGAGTTCTAATTTTCTTCAATATACTAAGGAGGAATCTACGGTTCCTCAAGTAAAATAATTTAGCCCAAGGACATCCAGCTATTACGTGTTGTAGCCAGTATTTATCTGGTGACTATCTGATTATAGATATCATTTTCTTCACCACTACATTGTCCAAGCAACAAAATTATTGACTAAATAGTATCCCAATGCTCTGTTAGTGGGTTGAAATTACAGACTTTTTTTTTTTTTTTTTTTTTTTTGAGATGGAGTTTCGCTCTGTCAACCAGGCTGGAGTGCAGTGGCAAAATCCTGGCTCATTGCAACTTACTGGGTTCAAGCAATTCTCCCGCCTCAGCCTCCCTAGTAGCTTGGACTACAGGTACACACCACCACACCTGGCTAACTTTTGTATTTTTAGTAGAGACAGGGTTTCACCATGTTGGCCAGGCCAGTCTTGAACTGTGACCTCAAGTAATCCTCCTGTCTCAGCCTCCCAAAGTGCTGGATTACAGGCTTCAGCCACCATACTTGGCACAAATGCATATTTTTGTTTTTTAATAAGAACTGAATATCTTTTTTCTTTTGATAAACATTAACTGAACATCTACTTTTTATGCATTCGTTTATTTACTGAATACTTATTGAACACTGCAACTTTCCAAACACTTTTCTAGGTGCTGAAGCTTCAATAGTGAATATAGTAGACAAAATAATCCTCCCTTTTAGAGAGCTTATATTATATTAAGGGACCGAGACAATAGACTAGATGTGCTATTTTAGTATCTAATTTCATCTTGAATATATTAAGTAATCTGATTATAATCTCCTATATTCTAAATATGATTAATTTAGAAACAAATGTATTGAACACATTCTAAACTTTTGACAGGGTGTAACAGCTACAAAATTCTATGCCTGTCAGTTTTGCTGTTTGCTCATGCCTATCATATGTAAAGAGATATTTTCACAACTATTTCACAAACTATAAAGAAACAAATGAAATCGCTATACTAATGAAGTGTAAAAGATATTAAACCCATCTTGAGCATAGAGTTTTCTTTGTCATTCAATATTTTAAGGATACAAAAATACCGTTAGTTTTGTTCAGTTTGGTAGTCTCAAAGACAACAAAAAATAAAGTTCACAAAATTAAAAAAGAAGCACTTTCTCACTTAAAGAGTGATTTATTTCTAATTTCATAGGAAGCTGTATTTGGCTGTTTACAGGATTAATTGCATACTTGGTCAATTGCCTTCCTCCATTCTACTTGAACCCCATCCCTATTCCCACTAAACAATCCTACATTTTTTATAAGTTTTACAATTTGTGAAGTGCAATTGTGTTTTAAAATAGGGAAATTTTATCTTCTGTTTATAAAAGAATATGTTAATTTTCTTAAATAGATTGGAAAGTAATTTTGAGTTTCAAAGTTGATGTATTTCTCTTCTTTACACTAATAGCATAGTAGCAAGATTAATTCGATAGAAACAAATAGAAACAGTTTTATGTCAAAAAGGATAGCAGTGAGAAGATTATAAATGTTTACAATATCTTTTAGCATTTTTCTAAAGAATGATCACGTAAGTGAAATTCATAGAAGCATAGCTAATGTCTTAATTTTTTATCTCTGCATATACATTTCCAAATGAGTCAGTTTAGGTTAAAAATCAATAACAATTTCTGTAAAGCAAAAAGAACAAGCTACCAGTAAGTATGATTTTAAAATAAAATATTAATGATTCACTCCAACTTACAAACAACTAACTCTGTCTTAAAGGCAAAAAGTCCTGTAATTCCTCCTTCAACTTAATGAAGTTGACATTTAATAGTAAGTTTTGGGTCTTTGTTTGGCCAAAATCTATTAGATTTTGGCATAGAAATTGGTGGCTTTCTTTAATAAAAGCATATTTGCAGGAAAAAAAATGATATTTTAACGCCTTGTTTTTCCAGCAGAACAAATTACAGACTTAACCTAATAATTTAGGGGCTACCCGCCTTGTTTCCCTTCTCTTTGTCAAATGGAAGATAATTTTACCTCTTAAGTTTTTAAATTCAGCTTTGATATTTGACTGATTTTATTCTCTCTCTCTTCTTTTTTAAAAATTCTTATCTTGAGATGGAATCTCACTCTGTCACCCAGGCTGGTATGCAGTGGTGCGATCTTGGCTTACTGCAACCTCTGTCTTGGGTTCAAGCAAGTCTCCTGCCTCAGCCTCCCAAGTAGCTGGGACAAATTTGTATATATTTAGTAGAGACGGGGTTTCACTATGTTGGCCAGGTTGGTCTCGAACTCCTGACCTAGTCTCACAAAGTGCTGGGATTACAGGCATGAGCCACACCTGGCCTGATTTTATTCTCTGTATAATAAACATGTGAGTTAATATTCCCCCTGTCGTTTTTCCTTATATTTAAAAATTCAGTTTTCAGGAATTTACATTACTCCTTTTTTTTTTTTTTTTTATCCTGAAGTGAAAAAGCAGATCTAGCTCTCTCTTAGAAACCTATATAACTTATAGGATTTCTTCATCTTTCCAAAATGCTGGTACTCAAACCTCAATTTTCTCAGAAGAGACTGCTACCTGGCACAACTTTTGCTTTATTAATATTGGTAAACTGTCCCGTGGATGGTGTTGTATAAGAGATGATAATATTATAATCCTAAAATCATCTTAACTAAAAAAAGTTTACTTTTCCATTTTTGCTAGTACTTTATAGAGGAAAGAAAATGGAAGTTTCAAAATCTATGACTCATATCTTTTGACAGTGAATACACTCTTATCTTTGACCTGGTTAATCTTAAAGGCAATGATCTTCCTCTAGTTATCTTATGGTTTTATTAACTTTGAGAGAATAGAAAATCACCCTGTTAAAAATACGGCATGGCATAACTGGCTGACTCAACACTAGCATGCACGATGTCATGAAGTCCCAAACAGCAATGTTTTATGAGCTCTAGTGACAAACCTGACTATTCCCATTTTTGAAAGTAGTACAGAATGAAAACATCTTGTCTTTCTCCCAGTCTTTTAGTAAGACCCTTTCTCACGTTTTTTTTTAACTTAAAAAACCCTCAAATGCTGTATCCTAACATACACTAAAGGGAAGTGCTCAATAAATATTGTTTTTCCCCCTAGCTGTGCAAAATGAACGTGATAGAATAAGCACCAGAAGAAGCACATTTGACGGCAGCAACATCCCCTCCATTAACACACTGGCACAAGCTGAAGTTCGGTCTCGCCAGGTACCTGCGGCACGCCAGCATCCAGCCCTATTTGATAAAATCAAATGTCCATTTAAGCATCACGCTAAAATAATCTAAGTGTGCTCATTACTAAATAAGTTACATCTACACATATTTAAGAGTTTTATGTTGACAGTTTCAGTGGGACTGCTGACTTAATTTTGACTATTTTTGAGCAAGACTATTTTTAAATGAAAAAAATGAACTTCAGTCTAAGATTTTTTAAAAAGTTTGCTTACAAGGTTAATTAAAAATAATGATTAGCACAAAGCTCTGGGGGCAGTATTTTATTGATTGAAGGTGTACAGCCAGCTACCACAACTTTGGGGGCATTTGGTTGAGATTTGTTATCAGAGCTTCTTTCCTTGAAAATGGCTTCTGGATTATTGGGACCTGATTTGGAAACAGACATTTAAATGAAGAGTCAGAATTCAGAAGACATAGAAGAAAGAAAACTTAATCATTTTAAATTTCTCAAATATCAGTTCCACAGTTGAAAAAGTAAATCATGGCCGGGTTTGGTGGCTCATGCCTGTAATTCCAGCACTTTGGGAGGCCGAAGCAGGCAGATCATGAGGTCAACAGATTGAGACCATCCTGGCCAACACAGTGAAACCCCGTCTCTACTAAAAATACAAAAATTAGCTGGCCATGGTGGTGCACGCCTGTAGTCCCAGCTACTCAGGAGGCTGAGGCAGGAGAATGACTTGAACTAGGGAGGTGGCAGTTGTAGTGAGCTAAGATCTTGCCACTGCACTCTGGCCTGGTGACAGAGTAGACTCCATGTCAAAAAAAAAAAAAAAAAAGAAAAGGAAATCATTAGTTATATACATAAAAATAAATCGTTTAGTGTCAAACGAAGAAATCCTTAAATCAAACTTATTTTAGCATTGCTCTTATTAGAAATGTTAATAATATTTTTTTATTATAAAGCAGATTATAAAATTGCCAAGTAGTTAATCAGGTCCTATAATGAGTCAGTGGAACTACTTTCATTTTTGATAACACAAGGGTAATATGATGAGGTTAACATCACTGTTATCATTATTACTTGAAGATTACTTGATGGGCAATAAAGCTTTTAGAGAATCACTTAAAGGGGAGCCACAAGAAAATATTCAGATTCAGATAAAGATACACTCACACGCATGTTCAAGAATAAGTTCATAGAAACTCTTAGACTGTGTTTTCTTTCAGCAGAAAAGCTTTATTATCACAACTTATCTTTTTATGTAGTCTAAAATTACATATAACCTTACAAATGTATTATTGTATGTTAAGCTCGTCAACATTTTGAGTAACACATTGGTTTCTTAATTTAATTTTGATGGGCTTCCATTTAATGCATCGAGACAAATAGTTCTTGCTTCTTGTCTCCTCAATTGGGTAAACTTTCTGAAAACATTTTCTTCATAAACTTTTACAAATTCAAGAATATATCACCTTTAATTCAAAATAAAATCAAAGAGCATATTTTATATGGATACTATCTATTTGTATAGCTATTTTGACTTATTAAATTCCCCAAAAGTTGGGGTAAAACTAAGTGTTCGGATATGGCTGATAACATAATACTGCTCTGAGAGGATGGTGCTATATATTAAATGTTTTTAAATTAACTTGTAAACTGATAGGTATTTTATTTTTCAATTTAAAATGTTTAGTATTTGTGAAGACATTGTAGCAACAATAGTACCTGTCTTTACTTATCATACAAGTACAAGTTTTTACTTATCATAGTCAAAAGAAAAAAGGGGAATGTTGGCCATGTATTATTTTAATGATAACGTAATGTTCTTCTTAATGCTAGATCTCAGTCACAAGCCCTGGGTCAAGCACTGACATAAATGTTAAGAAAATTGCAAGTATTGGTGATGTCTGTGAATCTATGAAACAGCAGCTCTTAGTCTTGGTGGAATGGGCTAAATATATTCCTGCCTTCTGTGAATTACCATTGGATGATCAGGTATAAATTTAAAAATGTATGAATGCTTTAAAAATGCTTTTTGAACTTTGCTAAGTTTGTGTTCTTTCCATTTTATTTGTAATGCATATGCTATATTACTGTATTTGACAAAAGATAAATTATGAGAAAGGATTGCGTTTTCTCACATATTCACCTTGTTTGATCAAGAGGCACAACTATTTGACTTCTGTTTTAGGGGTGTGGCAAATGTATTGATTGGATAAGAACTGAACAAAACATTCCTCTGCCCTCTTGGAATTTTAAAAGGTTTATGTGAGGGAGAAAAGCAGACAGCATGTAACTATCATTGTGAGCAAAGTATTAGAAAAGTGAGTGAGTGTGAAGCAAATGGTGCATATTGTGCTTTGGTGTTTACTGAAAGTGCTGTAGAAAACTCCTCAGAAACACCAGGTAACTCCTAGACAGAAATCACACAGGTTGTGGTGTTGCCTTGGTGGGTACTTCACACAATTAACATAAAGTTTTACCTTTCATCCTGTCAATTTTATTCTAGCATTTATTGTATGAAAGTTATAGGTCTGGCAAAAACAAAAACAAAACACATCTGTGAAAGGATAATCAGAAATTTATAGAGAAGTAAAGTTTACAGAAGAAAAGATATGGTGATGTTTTACTAATACCTATATTTTCATATTTTGTCATATGTCCATTGTGACATTTTAATAAATAGTTAGAAACTTGACTTTCCTAATTGATTTATGAAAATAAGTATTTTGGTTTCAGATTCATTTTGAACTATTCTAAGAAGGGTATAATTTTTTGTAGATGAAAATAATTTGAAAAATTCCATTTCTCTCACCTTAAATTAACCATGATAAGTGTTATATCCAGTGAATATTTATTTTGAAGAGAACATTTCACTTGGTGACAGGGAAAAAATATAGTGAAATCTGAAATCATTCTTAAAATGCTCTGTAACTGCCTTCCTGGTATGAGTCATGAATATTGACATATCATAAAGATAGCATGGCTCAGAAGGTTATGCCAGAGTGAATAATGCTAAATTGCTAAAACCTACCAGTCTCACCCCAAGCAATATAAGTAGAGTTAAGTTATTTATCAGTTTTATATTTTTATTACCATTCTTCTTTAGAAGTTGCTGACTTATATATACAATGATTTAAAAATTGGGAAATTAAAATCCAGTAACCAGTAAAAACCAGTTTTTATTTACCAACTGATTCTTTAATACTAACAACATAACATGTATTATTTAACCACACATTAGTAAATGTCTATGAAGGATAAGGCACTGGGAAATTAGCTTTCAGTTGCACTATAAATTACATTATTTCATTTAATTATCTCAGGGGTTCTGTGACAGGTGTTATTATCTCCATTTTACAGTTTTGAAAACTGAACCCTGGATCAGTAAAATTCATTCAATAAATTCATCAAATGAATATTTATTAGGATATTAGTGTTCAGTTTTAAGAACTGTGGGTATTTAGCAGTATAAATACAGATTTTTTCACTAGTCTCATAAATGCACACTCTATTTGAGAGAGACCGATGACTTAAAAATGCACAAATTATGAGAAAGTTCATTCTAAGTGGAGATAATCTCTATAAAATGCTATAAAATGGAATAGGATGAGTTGTTGGAGAATGGGATAAAATGAAAAGAGATACTTTAAACTGAGGATCAGAGAAGTTATTGCCTAAGATCCTGAAAGACAAGGGCCAAGTACAGGAGAATCTGAGAAGAAAGCATTCTAGTTGCAGGAACAGCAAGTTCAAAGTTCTGAGTCAGGCAGGAACAATGTGAACAAGGGGTGTTGCAAGATGAAGTCAGAGACATGAGGGCCGGGAGGCAAAGCATTGACCCACTCTCCTCTCATCACCTGCGAGGCCACGTTTGAGGCCACAATAAGAAAACATTAAAGAGTTTTCAGCGTGGACTGGGGTGGTAGCAATGGAGATGAAAAGAAGTGGATCACTCTGGCTTATATTTTTGAGATGCAGCACTCGAATTTGCTGTGGAGTTAGAGAGGACTCAGAATAGTATCTTGAGATGAACAAACACTTTGGATTACTGTGTCATTTACTAGATGAAGATTCTGGAGAAGCATTACTTTGGTAGGTATTACATTTGTAATGCTTTTTATACTTCCTAGTGGTGATGCCCAGCAGGTAATTGAGTGTACGAATGAAGCTCAGTTGAGAGCTTACTGCGAAGGGTTAGAGGTTCATTGTAGAAAGTGGCAGAACCCAGACCTCACATCTTTTCCTCACTACAAGTTTTTGCTTTGCTTTTGCTTAGTTTATTATATGCAGGAGATTATGTTTTATATATCTTTTATCATTCGGTACTCATGAGTACCTGCTGAGATTTTTTTTATCTTTACTCCTATTTTATAGATGAAAACAAATGAGTAAGTTCCAAACATACTAGTTAACTTATACAAAAGTTAAACATGTAGGAAGTGGCCAAGCTGGGATTTGAACTCTGGTCTGTTTGATTCTGTTTCACTTCCAAACAGTTCACTTGTCTAACTTGTCTGATTTTTTTTTTTTTTTCTACTGCCATTGTATTGGCTTGCTAGATAGTTTAAAATTTTTTTAAAGTAAAATCTATTGACATGCTGTGATAGAAAACTGGAAGTCTTAATGATGGCATTTGTCTATGAATACTATAGTTTGTTAAAACAAAAAAGAGTCCCAGGCTGAAAGAACACTGTAAGTTAATAAGACTCACGTCATCTTTTAATCATTATATATTACAATTAATTGTTAAACTTAGAATTTTTTATTAAGGTGGCATTGTTGAGAGCTCACGCAGGGGAACACTTACTGCTTGGAGCTACAAAGAGATCCATGATGTATAAAGATATTTTGCTTTTGGGTAAGTTTTTTTAATTTAAAAAGAAATTATGCATATTTTATTCTTGCAATAATATGTAGGAGGGTCTGTTCTGTATGTACAAAGTATTTGCAGACGCTGTCAAATGGTGCTGTCACTTCACAAATTGGATTTAATTGTGTCCTCACTTGACCTTATTTTTCCTTGCCTTGACTGCATGTAAGTTCAGAGTTCACAAGATGATTAGGGAACATTACGTTTTAAAAATAAAAAAGGGATGTTGCTCAATAAACATAATGTTGAGGTATATTCAAATTATATCAGGATGAATAATTAGTGACTTAAATGGCCGCCTTATAGAGTCCCAATGTTTTTTCACACTTCCTCAGAGTCTGCTTTTTATTTTATACACTTTTACATCCTATGATCTTATTGCCCATAATAGCCCATGATATGCTACAAAATGATCAAGTAAAAAAAGTATTGGTGGGAATGACTGAACAATTTTGATAGACAGAAATACTAGGAGAGGCAAAAGAGGGATAATAGGTGTGGGGTGGTGGGTAAAAGAAACTTTTGTCTCCATTAATTTCTCTGATCCGGCTACCTTACTTAACTTACACAATTAGGTTTTGAGGGTTGAGAGCCTTCTGACACTTACCAGCTTTACCTCTGTCTGGCATGTGTGAAAATATGACTAGATTATTGTATTTTTGCACTAGATGTTTTAGCCCCAAATGTAAATACATTGAAGATAATATAACAATATCTAATATTATTGTGGGTTTACTGTGTAAATGCACTGCTCTAAGTACTAAATATATATATATATACACATATATATATATATATATTTTATCTCATTTAGTCCTTCAAATGACCCTAAAGGATTAGCATTATTATTTTCAGCCCATTTTGCAGGTGAAGAAATGAAGGTAGGGAAAGTTTACCAAAGGTTACAAAGCTAGAAAAGCATACAACCGAGATTCTAAACCACATATTGTGATTGTGGAGACTATTCCCTGAAATGCTATTAAATACCTCTCTTGCGTTTCTAGTAAACACCTAGAATACTCTTCTTTGTATATATCTGAATGCAATATACCTAGAAAACAAAATGTCTACTACATACATTTTAGTTCTCAATTGATTTACCGTGAATAATTAGGTAAGCTAACTTTTCATAAAGAAAAAGTGAAGCTCAAAAAAAGGTAGTAACTATGTGACATGAAATATATGTTACTTAGTTTGACTATGGTAATTATATCATAATGTAGATGCACATTAAAACATTACACTGGGCCAGGTGTGGTGGCTTACCCCTGTAATCCCAGCACTTTGGGAGACTGAGGTGGGAAGATCATTTGAGGTCCAGAATTCAAAACCAGCCTGGCCAATATGGTGAAATCCTGTCTTACTAAAAATACAAAAAATCAACCAGGAGTGGTGGTGGGCACCTGTAATCCTCGCTACTGTGGAGGCTAAGGCACAAGAATCATTTGAACTCGAGAGGCAGAGGCAGTGAACCAAGATCACACCACTGCACTCCAGCCTGGGCAATAGAGAGAGATGCCGTCTAAAATCAAACAAACAAACAGATAAACAAACCAAAAAATCACATTGTAGGGCTTAAATATATACAATTTTTTTGGCCTTCATACCTCAATAAAGCAGGAGAAAAAAGAATGAGGCTACCGATGAACATGCTGTTACCCTGAGCATTGTCTTTGCCTGCAGTGAAAGAATTTAGAATATTTGTCTTTTTATAAAACCAGAGAATAACAATTTAGCTGTTATTTTAGAAGCTATAAAAACGTTCATCATATTATAGCCAGAGAATTTCTAAGTTAGAAAGATCTTTAGGGATTAGGTCTTCCAGCTCTCTACCCAATTTCTGAACTCCCTTAAAGTCAGGCTTATAAAGTGGTTGTCCCACTTCTATTTAAAGAAGTCCAGGAAAAGAAAACATACTATCAGAGGCAACTCAAGATAATTCATCTGCTAGTTTAAAAAAATCAGCCTTCATTACTTAGACTTGTTAAAACTGTCACAATAGTGTTTACTCCTTCATATGCCTTGAGTATCAACGTGCGGTTTTTAATCTGCTGTAAACAAGAAAGATTCTTTAGGGTTTGCATTATAGTCATTAGCGCATAAAACTAATAGATGACCGAAACAGAGAAAAACTAATCATTATACTGAGATTTTTCTTGTCATTTATTACCTTGTTATTAGTCTGCACTTTTGTGTTATCGTCAGTGACTGAGATCATTAAAATGCATGTGATCACATTATCAATGTTATTGGTCCTTTAAGCATTCTTAAGTTTTTCTAGCATAACTAAGAACACCACTGAGAGAAAGTACATCACTATTCCTTAAAGGGTAGACTATGTTGAATGCAGGTTTGTTAAATTTTAAACAGTGCTGACAATTTTGGGAGAGGTGGTTAATTTTCTTTTGTTTTCTCTCACATAGGAAACAACTACGTTATTCACCGCAACAGCTGTGAAGTTGAGATTAGCCGTGTGGCCAATCGGGTTCTAGATGAGCTGGTTAGACCATTTCAAGAAATCCAGATTGATGACAATGAGTATGCTTGTTTAAAGGCAATTGTATTTTTTGATCCAGGTTGGTTTTCAAAATGCCACTAAAGAATTAACATGATAAAAATTAAACCACTTTTCAAGATTAGCACATTTACTCTCTCACACTCTAATTAGGTTAAATCTGTATGCTGCCTTTCTTATTTCCTTTGTTAGATGCAAAAGGGCTAAGCGATCCAATAAAAATTAAGAACATGCGATTTCAAGTGCAGATCGGTTTGGAGGACTACATCAATGATCGGCAGTATGACTCCCGGGGCAGGTTTGGAGAGTTGCTTCTGCTCCTGCCCACACTGCAGAGCATCACTTGGCAAATGATTGAGCAAATACAGTTCGTTAAACTATTTGGGATGGTTAAAATTGACAACTTACTTCAGGAAATGTTACTAGGTGGTGAGTACATTGAAGAATTTCTACTTTATTGCTTAGAATTACACAAAACATAAGTTTGATCTATCAATTTTTTTGTTCATATTTAATTCATCTATTTAAGTTGCTGTGATGCTCCTGAATTTGTCTCTTTTGCTATGACATAATGGACTAATGTTTTTACATTTAGAAAGGTTGCAAGACCTGTCAGAGACAAAAACACTTGAACAGATTCAAATCCTCATTGTTATTACCCTCTACTACCTCTACTCCACAGCCCCTCTGACTTCAATTTTCAGATCCTTCCAAACATGGCAAACAGAAAGAAATTTCCTGTTTTTATGACCTCGTCAAATATATCATGGTTTTTCATGCCCTGATTCATTTAAAACCTCAAGGATACTGGAATTGCAATATAACCTAATATATATATATATATATATTCTTATATATATATATATATATATATTCTTAAAATGAACACTGTGCCCCTAAAGTAATTAATTGACGCAAAATAGTAGAAGGGGAAAATGATATTTTATTGTTGCAATAAATGTCAGGAATAAGTTAAGAAACCATTTATTTTGCATTCTGATATAGGTTAAATTTCCTTGTAAAATCATCATATTTATTTTTAGTTTTCTGGTGCATAATGTGTTCCTAATGATATCTTTCTGAAATGAAAGTTGGTCATGCTATTACATTCATTCCAAATACTATAAACTTGAGGTAAGTGATTCTTGGAATTGCCTTAACAACAGGCAGCAAACCTAATGATTCCAGGAAATGGCACACAAGGTCCATTATTAATATACAACATAATATGATACAACATTAATCTAGCCAATGTACAGTGAAAGCTGACATTGTTCTAAATATGCCAGTGGTTCTGTCAATTTATTTTTGAATTCCCAAAAAGCACTTGGCAAAAATAGCAATATTTAAGCTGTCAATCAAAACATTTGTTTCAAGGTAAACTTGCTGTTCCTGATTAAATATCACTAACACAGCATATTTTTATCTTGTGTAGGGGCTTCCAATGATGGTAGTCATCTCCATCATCCAATGCATCCACATTTGTCTCAAGATCCATTAACAGGACAAACTATACTTTTAGGTCCCATGTCAACACTGGTTCATGCAGACCAGATCTGTGAGTACATAGGCTACTTTTCAACCACGATATTTCTTAATTACCCTAGAAAAAGTGGAATTGTGGGGGAGAATCTATTAGTAACCAGAAATGGCAAAAACTTGGTGTAATTTCCCATCCGGGACTCAGCAGTAAAATATTGTTATTCAGCTTGTCACTTATTCTCCCTAAACATGAGTGTGTTTCTTAAAATGAAAATGTAGGAAAAATCTTTCTACTTCATAGGTCTGGGAAGTGCAAAAGAGTATACTAGTAGTCCTTGCTTTGCATGGTAGTGTGAGACATAAAAACAACAATGCAAGCTGAAACCATGCAAGGTAACCTTAATAATCAATGGGAAAATTATTTCCTGCTTGGGACCTTTAAAAATGTTTGTCAAAACATTGAGAACTCTCTTAATGTTTATGGAAACAAAAGAAATGTAATCTTTATACTTATTTTGTAGAATTAAGTATAAAATATTTCAGTTGATACACTATAATTTAAAACATTAGCAATATTGAGAATCAAAGTGTTTTACTTCTTTACAAAACAATTGTGAAATGCAGTTTGAACAGTTCTTGTCACATTCTAAAACTTAAATTAGGAAGTGAGGATCTTTTCTAGGCCCTGATGAGTTTTACTCATGGGAAATTTGGATCAGCTTTCAACATTTTATCCGTTGCATTCTCAATGTCCTGATATGTTTCCGAGACTTCACTTAATGTGAAATTTTCTTGCTGGTTTCACTTCTTTTGGGACACCTCCCTTTTCAGCATATCCAGCTTTCTCATTTATGTGGACACGTTTGCCTTCACTAGGTTCCTGGCTGCGTATGTAGGGTCTCAAACTGCAGCAACAGCGACATTCCCATGGTCAGCTACTTCTGTGACTTTGTTTGTGTTCTATTTGTATGTCACTTCCAGCATTATCACTTTTTATTCCTTTTCTGCACTTTTACCTTTTACCTTTATTCCTTTTCCTCACTTTTACCAACAAAGGTAAATCACAATTCTAATTTAATTATTCAACTTTGTAAAATGTCATGTGAATTTGCCACTAAGAAACAAGGAGGCAACACAGCTACTGTGTGCAGTTTGTTTTCCATGCCTGCACTGAATAAAAGATGCTCAGTGGCCAATCATGGACAGACTAAAAGTTGTGACATGATCAGCCGCTGATCATAAAGCACATCTGTTATTCAGGTACTTGTTTGCAGACTGAAGAGTTGGCAGTGGAGTCTGTATTTATGCAATTACTCACTGTTAATTGTAAGTTACCATGGTAACTGAAACTTGAACCATGTTGCCAGACTGGTGCTGCTTAACTAAGCTATGGTAACCAGAATTCATTCACATCAGAATTGTGCAGTGAGGGTTGCTTATGAAAACTCCTTGGAACACAAATGACTATGTAAATACTATAGAGATTGCGAGTATTTAAGTTAATCTATTATTGTAGACTTCCTGCTAATGCTATTTTTCTAAGCTACTCTGGTGATACAAATCTCTAATTATTTGATAAAATATCTAGATTAACTGATTAATTCTTCTGAATTTCCACTAATTAAGCCCAGATTTACCTTTGATCTATTGCCTCTGAACCCCAAACCTACGAACTCACTGAGATGAATTGAGTTATTGTGATGTGATTGTTATGCATACTTTTATTACCTACTGAATTTACAGTAGACTTTAAAAACTAGCTACAACACTGTTTTGTTCCCCCAAAGGTTGTATGCAATGCCACAATTTAGCAAGTGCCACCTGACTTCTAGCCATTGGTAGAGTACATAGAGGCTATAGAACTACATGTTCCCATGCTCTTTTCGATACAAGCACAGGTAGATATTTTTGTAAATAGTATCTGAAACCAAAATTCTTTGAGTATACGAGAGAGAGGAAGAAATGAAATTGTTAGGAAAAAATATAAATTATAGAAAAATATGGCATAATCTGGGATTCCCAAAGTATTTGAAAGACATTATTTGGGAGCTTCCTTGCAGAATAGATGTTACCATTTTCATTTAATAGGTAATCAAGAGCAAAAAGAGAAGGACAAGCCTAATACCATACTAGAGAGTTTATGGAGTTGTGTCTCTTAAAGATCAGTTATTCATAAACTCGGAAAATAAAACACATTAACAACACATTAAGCATTGGAGTAGTCAACTGGCAAGAGAGTTAGACAGTTCTGCTGGTGGTTGAATTTTTTACTTTTTAAGGGCTAGTGTTCCAGGATTTTAAAAACATATTTGCTGACCCTACTCTTTTAAAAATCACATTGTTATACTAGTTTTTATTCTTGCTCTTTCCACATACTATTTGTGGGATTTATTTGTAAAAGAAAACTTTACTATGATCATTTGGAATAAATTATATTTTATGCAAAGCAGGATATTAAACACAACCAAAAATTTAAGTTCTTTTAAAAAGGCTACTGCTGTTTTAGATCCATTCTAAATAGCCAGAAATAATTTTTAAAGCAGATTTTGATATTCGTTTGTCATTTAAACTGCACTTAAAAATTTTCTTTCTAAGTAATTGCTAATCCATCCTTAACAATAATATAAAGCTCATGCATTAATGAATACCAGGCAAAGGGATATTGTTCTTGTGTTGTATATAATGTTTTAAAACTGTTGAGACATAAGCTATAAAGTTTACAAATCCTCAATCTGATCATCTAACATTTTCTGTTAGTTCTGTTTACTATGTGGAATAATACAGTAGTAATAAGCGTGAGTGCTAAAATATTTCAAGTTTCTAAAAATTACAGAATAACTCCTAGATTATTTTATAATATGGTTAGATTTTACATTAGAAAGAAATACTATTCTAGAAAATGAAGTATTGAAACTGTCACTTTTTATATTCAATTCAATCTTTTTATATTCAATTACTTTCTATTCAATTACTCAGGATTGCTCTTTGCATCAAAGGGGATGGGACAGGCAAGCTCGATCATAATAGAATAATTTTGAAGCAAAAAAAGGCAGTATTTTCGAGATGCTTTTGACTACAACTTAGATTTCAGAACATTTATAAAATATCTTAACCTTAATTTTTTCTGTCATCTCATATGTCTGAATTAGTGGAATCCAAACCAAATATATTTTTATTTTATGTGAATTTTGATTGTAAGAATTATAAAGACTGCTTTCTAATATTTGAGAAAACTATCCTTCTGTTAATTCTTTTCACTGCCTTTTTTCCTGCTAGGTTTATTAGAGAATCAAATGCTTATAAACGCTAATAAGAAAGGCAAAAAATACCTTAAAGTGACTATGAAAAAAAAATTTAATGTGACCTCTTTCTATTTAATGCTATTTGGGGAGGTAAGGTGAGAGTACTCTCTAACAGTATATCATAGGTCAATAATGCATTCTACAAATCACTACTCTATATAGGATCTTTTAAAAACATTTCCAAATTATGCTAATGTGTATTGGTGTTGTGTAGGGTTTAATGGGGTGGAGAAAGCTGACTGCCACCATCTCATCACATGCAATTCTCTGATTCTTTTTCAGCAACTCCTGAAACCCCACTCCCTTCCCCACCACAAGGCTCTGGGCAAGAACAGTACAAAATAGCTGCAAACCAAGCATCAGTCATTTCACACCAGCATCTCTCCAAACAAAAGCAATTGTGAAAATGTGTTTACTTCAGAACGGCACTACATAAATGTGAAAAGTTGTTGGTCTTGAAATATCTCAGGATAGTACTTTTGGCAAACTCTTAGCCAAGCCTTCTCCATGGTGCTGTTATAAGATGGTGTCCTATTTTCTTGTTTATATGTTCATTCTGTTTGTTGTTGCTACTATGTAAAACTTTCACCTACAACCAATGTATAGCTGAGTTTGAAGATGTTTATATAGGGTATTTTTTCCAACTGCTCCTACACTGTGCCTGAACCAACTGAATCTTATGTATGACTTTCATTTGTTTTATTAATGTTAATTTAAATCTGTAAATAATTGCTTCATTGTGATGTGATGCAGAACAAAGTGTTCATATTTGACTGAGAATAGTAGATCAGAACCAGTTTAATATCAAATGAGCTAAGTTTTTAAAAATAAATTATAAACTTGCAAATTAGAAAAATAAAGCAGTTCCTGTAGAATAGGCTGTATCTTTTTCAAGAAGGATTTTTTAGGGACACTCTGTGGCAAAGAAGCAACTTTTTGTTTTACAGTTAAATATTCCTATCTTAAGATTAGAAAATTATAAAAAGCCATTCCAAGGATGACTGGATATTTTTTGAAATCTGACTTTATCTGAAGATGTGTGTTAAGCTAAAACATGTTGGGTTTCTCAGTTAGGATACAGGGTAAATTGTAGCAAAGAAACCCCTAAAACAGTGACTCAACCAATAGAGGCACCTATGTATTTTTCCTGACTTAGAAATAGTTATCCATTGACTAGAAATTAGCATATGCCCACAGCTGGTCCCCAGAGTGGCCAGGAGAATTATCTATAGGTGCAAAGCCTGTGTCAGCCAAAGCCATGCCACTCTGAGTTAACAGATTCTGTGGACAAGCTAGCCATCTACCACCCATTTTCCTCATTTAGTCCTCACAATAACACTTTAGGGAAGATATCATTATCTCTCTTTTATAAATAAGGGAAACTTTAGCTTGAGGGTTTAAGGAACATAACCAAAGTTCATAAACATAACGAATAAGAAAACCACATTCAAGCCCAGGTCTAGTTGCCTTTAATGAATCTTTGCTGTGGAATGAAAATGTGAACTTCTTTCTCATAGTGGGCTTTTTAAATATACACAGTTGAGTGATGATTGGATACTATTCATCATGTTGCCTATCATATGTATTTACAGATAAGCACTGAGTATAAAATTGTTGCGGCTTGAATAAAAAACTACTTTTGTAGTTTTAACAAGTCATCAGAAACAGTAAAAGATTCACCAGATAGATTTTGATGAAAACAAAAACAAAGTAAAATAACTGGCTTAGCAGATTTTTTAAAATCCAGCAGCCCAGGGATGTACCGAATGTCAAATTCTAGACTGAGGAGTACAGTTTATTGGAGGCTTGACCTCTCTGATATCACCTAAAGCTGGAATTTATTTTAAAACAAATTAAGCATGGGCCACCTCAGGAGGCAGTGATTCCTCTCTGGTTGAGGAGAAGGAAAATTGGAAAAACTGGTTGAGTAATTATCAATAATATATATTTTTAAAGAGAATCCTAAGTTGTAAAAGATTAAATTAAATAATCTGTCTCAGGACTTTTAAAAATAGCTAAGATTATGATGTCATATCTCCTACTTACCCTATAAGTAAAAAGGTTATAGTAATATTAAGTAACTTATTGGCTCGTAAAGTAAAATTGAACTCTTAAAGTAGAAAAATGATTATTAAAATGCTATCATTGATTTAATACGTTTAATATAATTCCTGCAAGACCTAGTACCCTTGTGAAGCTGTAAAATATATCAAGTAGGGGGAGTTTTTTAACTTTTATTTTTTGAAAATTTACTGTAGTTTCTATTTCATGAATAAGAATGTTATCTTTTATAGATTTTCATTTACTTTTTTGGGGGATTCCCTTAGAAGATATTAAAAAACATACTGCCTTGGTCTGTGCAAGCTGCTGTAACAAAATACAATGAACTGGGTAGCTTCTAAACAACAGAAATTTATTTCTCACTGTTATCAATGGTGGGAAGTCCAAGATTAAGGAATCAGCAAATTAGGCCTCTGGATCATACACAGCATCTTCTAGCCTGTGTCCTTACACATGAAAAGAACAAGGTAGTTCTCTCAGGTCTCCTTAATAAAGGTACTAATCCTCATGACTGAATCAGCCCCCAAATGCCCCACCTCTTAATACCATCACTCTGGGGACTAGGTGTCAGCACGTGAATTTTGGAAAAAACAAACGTTCAGAAAATAGCAAATGCCTTTAAAATATAAAAGATAAAATCCACTTTTATTGAACCCTGTAATTTATTCATGTATATTTACTAAACAGCTATGTCTTTGAAATTATTAGTGATGATTCTGCTTCAATAACTATGGTCAGGGAATTTATAATATTATATTTTTATATATTGAACTGCCAAAGATGCTGGAAAAAAGGAACTGATGTTTTCAAAATATATTCAAAATATTGATAAGGGAAGTTATTGCTTTTATATAGTACACAACTTTTTTCAGGTAATAGAAATGGATAATTTATTGTGAAATAAAAATTCATTTTATAAATGTAAAATTATTTTTTATAAATTTTACTGTTGGAAATCAAAAATTAGTAGATTTTTTACAATGTTAAATTAAAGTGAGATTAAAGTATTTCTAAACCGTGACACCATGTTTGTTTCACTAAACTTTCTAAATAAAAACTGAGGAAAAAAATCACTGAAATCAGGTGCTTCATTAGTGTTCAAAAATCATTTCATATTTTTACAGATACTCATATTTTATATACTCATTTGTATTAGTCCATTTTCACACTGCTATAAATAATTATCTGAGATTGGATAATTTGTAAAGAAAGGAGGTCTAATTGACTCAGAGTTTTGCATTGCCAGGGAGGCTTTAGGAAACTTATAATCACGGTGAAAGGAGAGGCAAGCATCTTCTTCACAAGACAGCAGGAGAGAAGGAAAGTGAGAGGGAAATTGCCAAACACTTTTAAACCATGAAATCTTGTGAGAGCTCATTATCACAAGAACAGCATGGGGAAAACTGCTCCCATGATCCAATCACCTCCCACCAGGTCCCTCCCTCCCTCGACACAATTTGACTTGAGATTTGGGTGGGAACATAGAGCCCAACCATATCATTCTGCCCCTGGCCCCTCCCAAATCTCATGTCTTCCTTACATTTTACACTTGATCTTAACCAAAAGGCTGAGAAGCAATCTTCCTTACATTTTAAAACCAACATGCCTTCTCAACAATTCCCCAAAGTCTTAACTCATTCCAGCATTAACTCAAAGGTCCAAGTCCAAAGTTTTATCTGAGACAAGGCAAGGTCTTAGGAACGTGTAAAATCAAAAGCAACTTTGTTACTTCTACCATATAATAGGGATATGGGCATTAGGTAAACATTTCCATCCCAAGTATGAGAAATTGGCCACAATAAGGGGGCCACAGGCCCCATGCAAGTCCAAAACCAGGCAAGATACTCATTAAATCTTAAAGTTCCAAAATAATCTCTTTTGCCCTATCTCAAAACCAGGGCACACTGATGCAAGACATGCCCCCTCCTCTCCCGCCCAAGGCCTTGGGCAGTTCTGCCCCTGTGGGTCTGCATGGTACAGCCACCCTCCTACAGCTGCTTTCATGGGCTGGTGTCATTTGTAGCTTTTCCAGGTGCACAGTGCAAGCTATCAGAGGATCTATTACTCTAGGGTCTGGAGGACAGTGGCCCTCTTCTCACAACCCCACTAGGCAGTGCTCCAATGGGAACTCTGTGTGGGGGCTCCAACCCCACATTACTTCTCTGCATTGCCCTAGTAGAGGCTCTCCTTGAGGGCTCTGCTCCTACAGCATATTTCTGTCTGGACATTCAGGCGTGTCTGGACATCCTCTGAAATCTAGGCAGAAGCTCCCAAAGTTCAACTGTTGTCTTCTGTGCACCCACAGGCCCAACACCATGTGGAAATCACTGAGGCTTGAGGCTTGCACCCCCTGAAGCAATGGCTTGAGCTGTGAGCTGTACCTCTTAGCCCTGGCTGGAGCTGGAGTGGCTGGAACACAGGGCACCATGTCCTCAGCCTGAACAGACCAGTAGGACCCTGAGACTGGCCCACAAAACCATTTTTTTTTCCTCCTAGGCCTCCAGGCCTGTGATGGGAGGTGCTGCTGTGATGATTGAGACATTTTCACCATTGTCTTGGCTATTAATATTAAACTTTTCTTTATTTATGCTAATTTCTACAGTCAATCACTTGAATTTCTCCCAAGAAAATGGGGTTTGCTTTTCTACCACATGGTCAGGCTGCAAATTTTCCAAACTGTTATGTTCTGCCTTCCCTTTAAAACAAAAGTTTCAGTTTCAGATAATCTCTTTGTGAATGCATATCACTGTATGCATTCAGAATAAACCAGGTCATATCTTGAACACTTTGCTGCCTAGAAATTTCTTCTTTCAAATACCCTAAATCATCTCTCTTAAGTTCAAAGTTCCACAGACTTCTAAGGCAGGGCCAAAATGCTGCCAGTCTCTTAGCTAAAGTATAGCAAGAACTTTGCTCCAACTCCCAAGAAGTTCCTCATCTCCATCTGAGACCACTCAGCCTGAACTTTGTTGTTCATATCACTATGAGCATTTTGATCAAAACCATTCAACAAGTCTTTCAGAAGTTCCAGACTTCCCTCATCTTCCTGTCTTCTGATCCCTCAAAACTGTTCTAACCTCTGCCTGTTACCCAGTTCTAAAGTCCATTCCACATTTTCAGGTTATCTGGCTCACAGATTTGCGTGACTGGGAGGCCTCAGGAAACTTATAATTATGGCAGAAGGTGAAGGAGAAGCAAGTACTTTCTTCACAAGTGTTGTTTGTAAATTTTCAGTGCTGCAAAAGAAGTAGCACTCGAATATAAATTTTCTCTCAGCAAGGCAACTTTACTTTCTGCAGAAAGGGTACACTTGCCAGCAGTTTGCCAGGAAAGGACACAGAACAAAGGTGGCAGAGCCATTTGTATTTAACACATCTGCCCTACTACTGTGCCCTGATTCCGTTGGCTGGAACTGGACCTCACAATCTAGGTTGCACCTGGTTGGCTAACAACTGAAAACTCTCCTAACTAGGTAAAGGCAGAAAAGAACAAAGGAAAAGAGAAAGTAACTTGAGGAATTCTTAGAGAGGTAAAACTACTTCCAAATAAGGAAGAGGAATGAGCTATGATCTAACACTTGCCTGGACTTGTCCAGGCATGTCAGGGCAAATATCTAGGTTAAAGTGTAAGAACTAAGAACATTGGATACACTTATTTCTTTATATGACTCACAGCTACCCAGGAGTATTAGCAAAGGGTCTAGAGTAAATTAACTTTAAAAGAAGTTATTATTTATAATAAACTAAGAGGAAAGCTTTGAAGAGGAACTTTTATTTATTTTTATTTTCTACATGGCAGCAGAAGAGAGACAGTGCAAGAGAGTAGAACTGCCAACTACTTTGAAGCCATCAGATCTTGTGAGAACTGTGAAAGGAAAATATCTTGGACCCCCAAAATCACTAAGGAGAACTCAAGCTGGAAACTGCTTATGGCAAACCTGCCTCCTATTTTATTCAAATTATCCCTCTACTCACTAAGATGGATTTCCTTCTTTGGAAAGGCTAATCAGAAACTCAAAAGAATGCAACTGTTTGTGTCTCACCTGTCTGTGACCTGAAAAGGTATAAAATCAAATTGTGCCCCCACCACCTTGGGCGCAGGTCATCAGGACTCCTTGAGGCTGTATCATGGACATGTCCTCAACCTTGGCAATATAAACCTTTTAAATTAACTCAGACCTGTTTCAGATTTTCTGGGTTCACAGAAATCACTCACTATCATAAGAACACCATGGAGGAAGCCATCTCCATGATCCAATCACCCTCCACCAGGTCACTCACTCCACTTGTGGGGATTACAATTAAGAGATGAGATTTGGACAGGGACACAAAGCTAAACCATATCATCATTTAATTAAATTTATATGTTAACACTTGTCTTTAGAGTCCAAAGCAAAATTAATTAGCATATCTCCAAATAATCAAACAACTGGTCACTGAGTGAAAAGATAATCCTCACATTTGCACTTTAGTTATGTAGTTTTTCTTGCTTTCTAGTTTTGTCATAGTAATACAAATATATGCCCTAAGTAGGCTTAAACATTGTAGGAATGTACTTTTGCTATATAAATTTTTAACCTAGATGCTTCAATTGCTGGTATCCTCTGTATATGTTTAAAACGTCTTTGTAAAATGTCTTAAATATAAGGACCTGCTAGTCTTATATTTATGGAATTCTACTAAGTTTTATTTTGCTTTTACTCATATTAAGGTAATATGTGTACGTCATTTAAAAAGACAAATTACACTTAAGGCTTACAATGAAAACCTGGAGCTCTCTTTCCTACCATTCACCTGTTATCCAAGTTTGCTTCTGTAGTAACAGTATTCAAATTCCATAGCTGTTTTGTCAGGTATTTTTTCTCCATAGTCTGAAAACACATTTAAATCACATTTATATATTTATTCTGGTTTTAGACATTACTTGCTGTCTTTCTACTATGAAAGAACAGGTTTTTAGCACATTTACTTTCATATAGGTAACCTATATATTTTCCCAATTACTTTATGAATCAATATTTTTATTACATTCTTAGTTACTATTTAAATAATTTCAAACCATTTTTTAAAATATTAAACAGATTATTTGTATGTCTCAGTGGAGAGTAGGAAAGATATACTCGAATATTATAGAGAAAATGAGAGGGAAGTCTTTGTTCTGGGTCATAGGAGGAATGTGACACAGAATTTTAGAAAAGAATTATTAATAATATGGTTTATTGTAACACCATATGTGAGTGCAATTTGACATCCTTTTCAATGTGATTATTTGAGACGATACTTTTTGTTTTTTTTTTTGAGATAGTCTTGCTCTGTTGCCCAGGCTGGAGTGCAGCGACGCAATCAGGACTTGTAGCCTTGAACTTCCAGGCTCAAGGGGCCTTCTCATCTCAGCTTCTTGAGTAGCTGGAACCGCAGGCGCAAGCCATCCCGCTTGTCTATTTTTGAATATTTTGTAGAGCCAGAATCTCCATACATTTGCCCAAGCCTCAGCTGATACTTGAGCTTATACTTGAGGTGATGCACTGATTTTCCTTGAGGCAGACAGGCTGAAAGGGGAAAGGAAGGGGCAGGGCCACAGCAATTTCCAATTTACTGGAGTTGTATTCAGTTACAGAAGAGATAGAAAGACTCTTACTTTACAGTAACCTAATAATACTGTGGAAAAAAGGATCCAGTTTGAGAGTGAACTTCCCTTTCCCACTGTGTCCTCCCCTGGAGATGCTCCTTTATTAACCACAAACAACTGGAGTTGTGAAATGATGATGTGCATATCTAACTCAGAGGCAACGCCTTAGGTGAAAAGAATGCAGATAAGGGCGATTGTAGCAGCCTAACTTCGAGTAAACAAATACTCAACAAAAAAGTGAACTTTCCTGCCAGGACAACCTTTCAAAAGCGGCTAGCACCATATATTTTATGTCCAATTTGATTCCTTATCTGGAAAAGTGATAATTTGAAAAATATAAAATATCTCCTATGAGACAAAAAACAGTAGGTTCTCAGAGTGATTGCAGCTATGTGGGAGGGAAAAGGAAAATGTATACTAAAAATAGGATTCAT